GGAATGTAGACCATTGACAGCGAACTTCTGCCCTCCGGGGGTTCCTCCATTTGTGCTGTAAGCCTGTATGTATTTAAGGTTTCTTCCCTCTTTCAATAAACGGCATTCGACATCCAATCGTACGAATGACTCGCTGTCTCTTGTCTCTATTTTTTAATCCGCAGCCCTTCGCTCGGACATGGTGAACGGATATTGGTAATGCGGGCATTACCGCTACAAGCTGCCAAGCTAGCTCACAGTAGAGCCCTGTCATTTCTTAGAACTCAGGTGTTGCCACTCTACCCTGTCCCTGGGCTGAAAGGACTGACAGAATGAGGAAGAGAAAGAGGAGGAGGAGGAAGAGTCCTTACTGATTATATTAGTTAGGGTTTTAATGCTATGAAGAGACACCATGACCATGGCAACTCTTATAAAGGAGAACTTTTCATTGGGGCTGGCTTAACAGTTGCAGAGGTTCAGTCCATTATCATCATGGTGGGAAGCATGGCGGCATGCAGGCAGACATGGTGCTGGAGAAGGAGCTGAGAGCTCCACATCTGGATTAGCAGGCAGAGAACTGGCTTGAACTTCTGAAACTCCAAAGCCCACCCCCTAGTGACCCACTTCCTCCAACCAAGCCACACCTACTCCAACAAGACCACCTCCTAACTATTAGGCAATCTCTTAACAGTGCCACACCCCATGGACCAAGTTTTCAAATGCATGAGTGTATGGGAGCCATTCCTATTTTAACCACCACACTGATTATTGTCTGTTGAAAGGGATCCTGAAGGTGTCCAGGTAGGGAAGCAGACCACTAAGAGGTGAGAATGGAAACTCAGTTCAGATTGACTTTGTCAACCTTTAACAGACTTGGGAAGTCTGAGGGCAGGCAGTTTATTCCCAACAAGCTTAAACACAGTATAATTTAGAAAAAGTTTCCTAGTGTAATACAATCCCCAGTGCACAAGAAAGTGTAATTACATCAAGACATTACTCAGGGTACATGTCATTTCTTCCAAGAAGATTGTTCTAAGATAGGCTACCTGTACTCACTTATGGGCCTAGGGAACGCTGTAGCTTAGTCTCCAATATATAGATAGTGCAGAGACCATTTGGGCTATTAGCTAACGGGGACTATCAGGATCCAGCCCTTTGATAGCCCTATCCTAGGGTCTGTGGAAGAAATGTACAATCAGCTGATAATCTAATCTTTGATGATATTAAATGAGTCTGCATACACAATACTTTTTAGTCCATGCACTTTATTCTTCTGAGTCAGTTCTCTCTCTACACAGCTTCTTTTCTGCTCTCATAAATTGCTCCTTTCATGATTCTCTCTACATCTTTTTGCTGTTCCCTCTAAGTGCTACCTTAATTCCTTCATCTTAGTTCTGCCCCATCTTGTTCTTTCTCATCTCATTCTTACTCCCCTAGTTCTTCCCTATCTGGCTCTTCCTCATCTTCCATCTTATCCTTCTAGTTCTAGCCCTCCAATCTAGTCCTCCTCCAATCTAGTTCTCACTTTATTCCTCTGAGATTAAATTCTATCTACACAGATTCAATTCTGTTCTCATGCTTTAGCTCCTCTCTGTCCTTTACCTCCTGTTTTCTCATAGTCCTAGTTCTAACTAAGCCCTTTCCATCTTGACCTCATTTTCGTCTCCATCCAATCCATTCCTCCAGCCATCTTCATTCTCCTCCACCTCTGGAGAACTGGCTTGTATCCTAACAGCAGTAACTCTTACCATACTAAAGCCAGGCCTTCAAGTCCCCACCAGAGCATGATAGCCAGCTTCATTTGCAACCCATAAGGGGAGTGAATAAAGGAGGTGGGATCAGGTAAGGACTGGAATAAATCAGAAAGGGAATTTATGTGCTCAAAATATATTCTTATAAATGGTTAGGTGAAATGTTACAAGTCTATCATAAATGTGCTCAAACTACAATCTTACAGGTGGTTAGGTAAGAGTCTATCAGTCACTAAAATGTAACTGCATCTCTATTTCTATGTCTCCATATACTGGCAAGGCAGGGTAACTCTGCTCTGAGCTAGGAAACCTGCCTCAGAGCTACACTGCAGCTGGTATGCAAAAAGCCCTTTTGTTCTGAGTCAATTGCTCTGGAATGCCATTTGGGCTTTGAAAGAAAGGAGGGTCTGAGCTTCATTTGCACAAGAAACAAAGCTGTGCACCTAATTTCTGCCTGTCTCATAGGCCTAAGAGACAGGCAGTGTCTCCATAAGGGTGTTTACCTTAATTCAGATCAGCGGTTGATCTGAAAAGCTTATTCTGTCTGCCATTTTGGCCTAGGATGCTTAAGACATATTTCAGAAAAATACATTGTTAGTATAAGAGTACATATGAAATTCATAGCAGGAAACAGCTGATATATTAAATGCCAAAAAATACCAAATACCCCTTGAGATTTGGGTTCCTCTGGAAGAATTCCTTGATTCTTCTAGATATAGTTTTATCATATACAGCTGAATTTCTACATCATATTCCTGTGTCTCATAGCAATTAGCTCCTTCTGTGGTCCTGGTTGTGGAAGCTTGGGGGAGCCTCTAGCTGTAAAGGTCATTTAGATTGCTAGTCACTTCTGATTCTGGTTGTAGGACCAGAGGCAACAACATGTCTCTAAGATGTTTTGGATTAGGATGGATTTTAATATGATAATAAATTCCTAAGGTTATAAAAATATATGCAGGCTAACAAAAACTGACTTAGAGATATATGCCTAACCACTTATGTCTTTGCTAACTGTGTTCAAGACCAGGCTGCCTGTGTCTGGGCCTTCTCAGCTGTCAGGTATGTAGAGATCTGTGCTCAGCGTGCACTACAAGCTTACATCATGTTTCTCCCTAACCAATCAGCTGCAGAGCACAGCCCAAGATTTAGAATGGGGCCCTGGAAACTTCAGAGAAATTCCATTGCATCATATCTGAAATTTCACTTTGTCAAATAGCTTTTTACACATTTCCTTTTAAATGGTATTAACGATACTGCTT